CATTAGCGCCATTTTTTCTGCTGTCCGTAACAAAGTGCTTGATCCCCCCCCTCCCCCAAAAAATGTTACGTAATTTTTGAACGCTCCCTTACTTGGAGGGTTTTTTGGGTCTCTGATTCCGAATATGAAGTCAGTTTTTCAAAATACAAAATGGCGGATCCATTATGGCGGACAATATTTGTTAAAATTCATCGAATTCACTTGAAACTCGTTACTCGGGGGTTTCTTAGGTTGCTGATTACGAATTCGATGTCAGTTTTTCAAATTTCAAAATGACGGACCTAGTATGGCGGAAAATTTTTTAAATTAATTGAATTTACTGAAACTTGTTACTCGGGGGTTTTCAGGGTCATTAAATACAAATTAAATATCAAATTTATAATCAACGACTATCAAAACCCTTCTAGTAATAAGTTTCAAGCGAATCTGATAAACTCCGCCATATTGGATTCGCCATTTTAAATTTTGTCTGTCAATATAATGTCCACTTTATTATCAGTTACACCGAAAAGCCTCAAAATTCAGGCAAAATTTACATTACATTAAAAAAGTCCAGCTTTAAATGGTTAAAAAATGACCAAAAGAAATCAAATTTTTTTTCCTACTTTTAGTTATGTTCAGAACAAACAAATACATTGAACGAAACAAATAACTTTAATTATCTCAATTATACATATTTTCAAAAAAAAAAAGTTAAATGCCGCATCTAAACACCGAGAGAGAGCGGGAGAGATTGTTGAGTAGCATCATATCGTCTGTTGCGGCGCCACTTCGCGATTCATATTTTGCTCATCATAATTACGAGAGTGTGTAGAAGATTCTCCGTATTGCCCTAAGCGAGTATATGCGCGCATAATTCGACGATTATGATGGGGTAAAAAAGAAAAAAAATTTTTTTTTTTGCCATTTGCACACACAGATACCGTGACGACTTAGAGGACCGTATAACGACCCATATATGATATACCATAGTAGAGTCATCTGGCACAACGACGATTTAACATCACGCGGATAATCGAAACTTAATTCTCGAAAAAAAAAATTCACCCGGGACGTGCAATTATATTTTATAAAACTACAGCAAATTCTTTCTTTTCGAAAAATTACCAGCATTCAACGAAGGTACTTTTTAATTTTAAATAGGTTTCGTTTATAAAATCATTTCCAAATTCTTAGTTTTATTCTGCTCCACTTAATCTTTTTTATGAACGGTTTTCTCTGAAATTAAGGTGGACGAAATGCCTGAATAAGCTCTAAAATTAATTTGTTAAAATTTTTATTTTACAAAATTTTATTTTATTTTTATTTTATAGAATTTACTTTTAGCAGAATTTAAATCTCTTCGAATTATTACTTATTTAGTAAAAATTTTATTTCATTGTATTTCACTATATTACAAAATTGTCATTTAAATGAATTTTACAGACTTTTTATTTCGTCAAATTTAAATTTTTCAGAATTATTATTTGCTCCAATTTTCATTAGACAGAATGGGGATTTAACAGAATTTTTATTATACAGAACTTTTATTTTTGTCCGAATAAATATCTGACCGAATAATCTCCGAATTTGTACGAATAAAAAAACTGAAACTGGCACCAAGTCATTAGCGCCAAGTTAATTAAATACAAATTTTATAATTAACCAATTAAGGAAATGTTATCAAAATCAATATAATTGGTTAATTTATAAAATTGCATCTAAATTTAAAAAAAAAAATTTGTCGGTTTTTAGAATTTTGTCAAACGTAAATTCGAAGAAATGAAAATTTTATTAGAAAACAATTCTTTCTAATACTCTTTCTATAAAAATAAAATACGAGTAAGAAGTTACCAATACCGTTTAATTAAAAATACCTAAACAATTGTGCAAGAGCAGAACAAAAAGAAATTCTTACATCAATTTTCAAAAATTTTAATAATAAATTATTCAAAATAATTCAAATTTTAATACGAAAAACGATTTTTTAACTCAGAAACATTAAATAAGTATTAATTTAAAAAAAAAAATTTGGGCTGAATTGTGCTAGTCGTCTAGCCCAAAAAGAAAAATTATATCATTTATGAAAAATTAAAAATTTTTGAAATTTAATTTGAAAATTCAAAAAAACATTTTTTTGTCCAGAAATATTAAAAAATTATTACTATTATTATTCACAACCAAACTTTATGATGAATTTTGCTAGTCTAGCATAAAAAGAAAGAAAATATTTAAAAACTGATTATTTTTCAAAATTTCTATGTTAGCACAATTCAGCACAAAATTTGTTTTTGAATAATAATTGTTTAATATTTTTGTGTAAAAAAAAAGTATTATTGAATATGAAAATTGGATTACATATTTTCAAAAAATTTTAATTTTTCGCAAATGTTAACATTTTTTTTTATATTGGAATTAAAAATTTTTTTTTTGAATTTTCAAATGAAATTCAAAAAATTTTTAATTTTTCCTAAATGTTATCATTTTTCTTTTTGTACACGATTAGCGCAATGCAGAGCAAAATTTTTTTTTAAATTAACCATTTTTTAATGTTTCTAGGTTAAAAAATCATTTTTCGAATTTAAATATTTAAAATATTTTGAATAATTTATTTTTAGGTACAGATTGTGAAAATTGTTGTAACAATTTGTTTTTGTTCTGGTATTTTTTTAAAATTTGACTCTTAATTATTGTTTTCTCAAAAAAAATTTTGCAGCAGAAATTATCACAAGAATTATTTTTATGAAAAAAGAAAGTGGCGTTGTTAACTTTTTGCACTTAAATAAAAAAAACTATTTCCAATGACTATTCTGTCTAATGAAAATTCGAGGAAATAAAAATTCTCAAAAATTTAAAATTGGGTGAAATAAAGTCTGTATAATGAAAATTCATTTAAGTAACCATTTCAATAATATAAAATTTTAGTAAAGTTAAATTTCTATTAAATAATAATTCGATGAAATAAAAATGTGGCTGAAAGTTAATTTCACTTTTTAAATTTTAATCAGTATGATTTTACTGATGAAATAGCTGGAATTTTGCAAACGGAATCAGTTCAGTAACATTTTCACTGAAATTCAAAAATATTCCACTGAAAATCAGCATAGAATTATTATTACTTATTTAAATAATTAAATTTGCATCGGTAAAACAGATTTGACTGTTTTAATCACATTATCATTAATAGGTAAAACAGATTTAACTGTATTAAAATCACATTATCATTAATCGGTAAAACAGATTTAACTGTATTAAACTGACATTGTCATCAATCGGTAAAACAGATTCACCTGTTTTAATCACATTTTTATTAATCGATAAAACAGATTTGACTGTTTTAATCAATAAAGAATTCTACTAATTTTAGGTGAAATTATGAAAGATCACTGAATTTCACTAGAAATCATACTGAAGTGATTCAGTTGCTAAATTCAAAACTATTTCATTAAAAAAAAAGAAGAAAAGAACATTGCGTATACTGTGTTTGATAAATGAAATTGGAGCCTTATGAATGAGTAAATAAATCGGATGAGTTTATCAGTAGAGATCGGAGAAAGAAATGAGGACCATTAGCATCAGTAATGTATAATGGCGCTTGGATAAAAATCTACAAAAGTTTTTATATAGTGAAAGACAAACCGGTAGCACATCATTGATGTCGATTTTTTTTGTTTTTGGGTGGGGGAGGGGAGGTCTTTGTTCAACTCTTTCTCTCTCACACACACACTTACAGAAAGCCTAAATATCAGACTCTTTAAAAAGAAAAATTTCTCTTGTTCTTTTAACTTATTGTCATAATCTGACATTTGTTACATCAAGATAAAAACATTTACCATCACATTAAATTCCACTACATGTATATAGGTTGCAAAATATGTAAGCTTTTAAAAATTATAATCATTTTTTTTTCTTTTTTCTTCAAAAAAAAAAAAAAAAAAAAAAAATATATATATATATATATATATATATATATAAGAGAAAAAGTGGATCTTGGTCAACGTTAATGATAAACTGTCGGATGATTTGAGACTCTGTTCTCACCACCTGATGTTAATTAGAGAATCAGGAGAATCACGGAAAAGCATAAGTGGACTGGTAAATTGCAGTCTTGCTACAGTTGTGAGAGAGAGAGAGAAAGAGAGAGAAAGACTCTGAATTGTCCAATTATCGAGTCAGCGGACAAGGCTACTTTTTTTCACTCACTATTATACACAGCAAACAGTTTTAAAAAAATTAAAAACAAATGCATGGAACTTTTTCATATGGAGCCAAATAAACTGGTTTTTGTATTTTCTAAACACAAAAATTATCTACACCTTCAAGTTGTTTTGGAAAATTTTTTTTTCTTTCATTTTTGTTATTATTTCTTACAATTAGAAAGAAAGTAAAATTGTAAAGAAAATAATTATTAATTAATATTAATTAATTTTTAATAATAGATTTTTATTCAAAATAATAACATTAATAATAATTTGTAATTATTTAATTATTATTAGAATAATGAAAAACGTTTTTCGTTAAATTTTGAATTCAGTAACTCTTCGATTTATTTTTAATAATAGAATTTTAATTAAATTAAAAATATTAATTATTAATCAATTTATTATCATTAAATTTATGTATATCAATAAATAAGTTAATTTATTAATGAAAAACGATCTTCGATAAATTTTAATTAACTAACTCTTTGATTAATTTTTAAAAATAGGCTTTTAATTATATTAATAATAATTTGGTAATTAAATTATTATTATTATTGTTAAAATATAATTAAAACCGTTTTTTGGTAAATTTGATATAATTAACACTTTTATTAATTTTTAATAATAGATTTTAAAATAAATTAAAAATAAATTAATAATAATAATTAATAATTAATAATTAATAATAACAATAATTATTATTATCAGTAAAATAAATAAAAAAAAAATTCTTGAAAAAGCGCAGAGAAAATGGGTTTAAAACAATTGCGTTAATTTAGCATAGCAACCGAGCGACAAAAGAAAAACGAATCAACAAACAGACATTTTATTCGTTTGCGGACCGTCAATACTAAATCATCGTTTAAAGTTTCTTTTACAATTTAAAAAGTTTTTTTCCAAATTTTCTGTATAATTCGAATTAAAAAAATAAATAAAAAAAAAGTTTAAAAATAATTATTATTATTTTCATCGTGGAAAGTGGTGACAAAAACTTGGAATCAACAAAAAAAAAAATAGTCAGTCAGCTTAGAAGAGCGTTTACATTTAGTGGAATTTTTGGGAGAAGAAAATTATATTAAAAAAAAATAAAAAAAAAATAAAATGAGACAACCAATACCAAAAATGTCGGCCCTTGTGGCATCGGCGATTCGAAGTCTTCGTGAAACTCGCGGATCTACTGCCAAGGATATCATGAATTATATCATTTCAGAACATCGCGCAGGGGATGCTGCAATTCAACGTCAGGTTTGTATTTTTTTGTCAATTTTCAAACAGATTTACAAATTATTTTGAAATTTAATTTTTTAAAAAAATTAAAAAATTATTTAATTATTAATTATTATTATTATATTATTTAATTATTATTATTATTTATTCTAATTTTTTTTGTAAATTTTCCAGCATATTTTTTAGTTAATTTAAAAAAATCTTAATATTAAAAATGTTTATTTTTTTAATAAAAATATTAAATATTTTAATATTAATTTTTCTAATTTTTAATATTAAAAAAAAACATTTTTGCCATTTTTATTTTGTAAATAATATTTACAAGAATTTTTTTAATAAAAACTAATTTTTTTTAGTAATCTGAATTTATTTCATTGATAGAAAATAGGAAAAAATTTAATTTGTAGAAATAATTAATTTAATAAAATATTTTTCTCGTTTATAAAAAAAATAATATAAAAATATTTTTGGTGTATAAATTTTACAGGAAAAATTTTTTAAAAAAATTCATATATAATTTATTGCAAAATTACAAATTTTGTATTATTTGAGTTAAATTAACAAAAATGTAAGTGATAAATTTTATTCTGCAAATAAATCATTTTTGAGATTGTTTATAGGTTAGTTGAGAAATTAAAAGTTTTGATTTTGAAATGAATTTTTTTTTATCAAATTATATACCATAATTTTTAGTTAAGTTTTCCAATTTTTAATACTTCAACAAAAAAAATTTTTGCAATTTTTTCAAATATTTACAAGAAATATTCAATAAAAACTGTTTTTATTAAATTAAATTTATTTCATTGACATGAAATAGAAAAAAATTTAATTTATAGAAATAATTTATTTAATAAAATTTTTTTCTTATGTAAAAAAAATAATATAAATATATTTTTGGTGTATTTATGAAAAATAATTTTTTTTAAAGTGCATTATTTTCTGCAAAAACATGATGTGTTTTATTGCAAAATTAAAATTTTTCATTTCTCGAATTAAATTGTCAAAAATAGAATTGTTTTCTATTATTTTTTTTACAAAAATAATTCATTTTTGAGATTGTTTATAGGTTATAGGTGAAAAAATCTCAAAATAAATTAGTTAAAATTCAGTACAATTAAAAATTAAATTAATTTAAAAATAATTTGTCACCAATTTTTTTTAGGTTACTTTCAAAATTCTAATTAATTCAAATTTAAAGAGTGTGTTAAAATCTTTTTAAATAAGGATAATAAAAAAAATTAAGAAATAGAAACCTAATTACAAAATAAAAAATAGATAAAAAAAATAAAAAAAAATATATAAAAAGTGTAATTAAATTTTGATCATTTAAATTGATTTAATAATCATTCATTAAATTAAAAAATTTTAATTATTTATTTTATTATTCAATATATTTCCAATAAATATTTGAAATATCTTCATCATGAAATAAAACAAGGAAAATAATTTTAAATAAAAAAAGAAAATCAATAGATAAAAAAAATAATTACATAAAAAAACTGAAGAACAAAAACTAAAAATTTAAGCAGTTGATAATAATAACATAAATAATAATAAACAATTAAAATTACATTATTTAAAACGACAAAATTAGAATTTAATTATTTAATTTCAAATAGTTGAAGTTAAAATATTTTAAAATTTAATTAATTAATAAAAAAAATGAAACGCGTAAATACGCTCTAAAATTAATTTCGTTAGAATTTTTCTTTCACAACTTTTTATTATCTAACAATTTACAATTTTATTTAATTTTTAATTAATTAATTAATTAATTAAATTATTTTTATTTAATTTTTACAATTTTTAATTTATCGATTAATTACATTACAGAAATTCCATTTAACCAAATTTTTATGTCATTGAATTGTTATTTCTATAATTCGATGAAATAAAAATTTGTCTGAAAGTAAATTCCACTTTTTAAATTTGAATTAGTGTGATTTCATTGATGAAATATTTTTGAATTTGGCAAGTGAATCACGTCAGTATTATTTTTACTGAAATTCAGTTATATTTCTCATTAAGTCGAATAATTATTATTACTTATTTAAACTGTTAAATCTGCATCGGTAAAATAGATTTGACTGTTTTAAACACATTATCATTAATCGGTAAAACAGATTTAACTGTATTAAAATCACTTAATCATTTATCGGTAAAACAGATTTAATTGTATTAAAATCACACATTATCATTTATCGGTAAAACAGAACGGAAAAAATCTTTACCTGTAACAGCGATAAGTTTCACTAGAATAGCGATATGTTTCACTAAAACAACGAAAATTTTTGCTATTCTAGAGAAAAATATAGCTGTTCCAGATAAATATTTTTTTTCCGTGAACAATTAATTCTAAAAAAATGAATGAATTAATTAAAAATGTTCTTTTTTTGACAGCTGAATGCAGCCCTAAAACGAGGAATGGAATACGGAATTTTGAGACGAGTCAAGGGCCATTATACCTTAAATCCCGATCCATTTGGCGTGAATCCATACACAATGATTCCAGAGGAAAAGGGTATGAGAAAAAGAAGGCGTCGCAAGGGTTCGCGTCGCATGCGTAAAGGACGTCGCGGTCGTGGCGCACGTCGTTCACGTCGTTCACGTCGCGGACGGGGCGGTCATCGCAGAACAACAGCGGCGACAACACGAAAAATTATCACAAAACCAGAACGTCGTCCTGGAATTTTGGCGCGCAATAATAAAAAAATAACAATTAACAACAATAATAATAAAGACAACAATAAGGACAACAACGACAATAACAAAAATAATAATAATAATAACAACAACAACAATGCCCGACGTCTACGAAGAATGGATGAGGATGAATTAAATGATAAATATTCAAATGAAATGGCGCCAATTGAACGAATGCATGTCGATCATCATGATCATGATCATCATAATCATAATGATGATCAGGATTATCAAGATCTTGAGGAAGATCGTCCTCCTGCGAACGTTGAAATTCCCAGGCGAACATCTACCATCAATAATAATAATAATAACAACAACAACAACAGCAGTAACAACAAGGAACGTGAACGCAGTCGAAGTAAAAGCCGACGATCACAAAGTCAACCGCGACAACAAACGAGACAGGAAACTCCTCCTGCTCGAAGTCCAAGTCGATCTTCAGAGAGTAGCGATCGCGAAGATCAAGATGATAATCGTCAAGATGATTAAATATCGATTTCAAAAAAAATTTATACAAAAAATGTCGACAAGGATATTACAAAAATATTGCCAAATCTTTTTAGTATTTTTTCAATTTTTGATAAATTTTTTTTTTATTTTTATTATTTTTGTAAAAAAAAAATATTTTCTGATATTTTTGTTAAATATTCTGTCGTTATTTTGGTAAATTATCTCACGATATTTAATTTAGAAATCGGGGGAAAAAATGTGAGATTTGTAGGAAAAATAATTTTCTGTTGACAGTTTTTTTTTTTTTTCGTTGATTGTGTCAAGTTTTTTTTTTTTTGTAGTTTTTCAATTGTGGCAAATGTATCAAAATTTTCTAGTTATTTAAAAATATAAAAATTTACATTTAAATGCAAATTTTTTTTTCTAATTTAATGCAATTTATTTAGATATGTTTTTTTTTTAGTAAATGACATTATTTTTCAGAAGGAAAAAAACGCTCATCGAGAATACCAAATTATTATTAAATAATTTTGATTTGTCTAAAAAGAACCGGATTTTTGAATTTGGAAATTAAAATTTAATATTTTTATTTTATAATGAAAATTTTTTGAATTCAACAATTGAAGACAAATTGCAATTACAACAGCTAAAATTTTGATTTTTTGATTTTAATTTTTTATTAAATTCGAATTTAATAAATGGTAACTAAATTAAAATTTTTGAAAATAGTAACTGAATTTAAATTTAATAAATTGGTATTAAAATTGGTAACATTGGTACATTCAAAATTAATAATAAATAACAGTTTAAATTCAAATCCAATAAAATAGAAATTAACAATAAATTAAAATTTTTAAAAATACTACCTAAATTCAAATTATATATACTAATTATAATTATATACTAAATTCAAATTTTATAAAATAGTAACTAAATTCAACTACAATAAAATAGTACCTAAATTGAAATATAATAAAATGGTAACTAAATTAAAATTTAATAAATAAGTAAATATATTAATATTTAATGAAATACCTAGTAGGTATCTAAATTTAAATTCAATAAAATCGTAATTAAATTTTTAAAAAAATTAATGCAAAAAAATAAAAGTTATTTTTGAAAAATAATCAAAGCAGCCATTTACCAACTTCCTGGTAAGTTAAAGTATATAAGTTGAACTTGAAAATCTATGACTGTTCTTATGCAAAATGGATAAGAAGAGATTTGCGTACCATTTCAAAGGGGGGATTGAAAAATAATTAGTCGTACTTACTATACAGTTAATGTTCGTTTAAAATATACGAGAACGTGAGAAATATTGCTACCAGTTTTCATATTCGTAAATATACACTTTGTGCGATATTTTTCTAAGTACATGTAAACATGTGTATGACTTTATGATCCTATAATATATTTAGTCACTAGTGGCATTAATTTATCTTTCACGCGAGTTCATATAACTCTATATAAACTTTATATATATATTTACTTCAAGTATTTAAATCGAAAGTAAATTTAAATACATTGTAAAATATGTAAATATATACCAACAAAATTTTTATAAAATAATATACATCAAACAATGCAATTTTTTCTATTCTATGAACAAATTTATTTAACTTTTCGCTTGTTAAAATAAAAAAAAAAGTTTTTTTTTTAATTAGAATTTAAAAAAATGAAATCGTGAATTTTTTATTTTGGTTATATTTTTATTTATTTTTAGTTATTTTACACAAAAAAAAAATTATTTTAAACAAAATTTGTTTAAATCAACTAAATTTATTGCTATACAGTTTCCAAACTTTAGATTTAATCAACCAAAAATTTATTTGGCTCAATCAAATTATTTCTCCGTTTTTAAAATTTATTAAAAATAAATCTAATGTTTATTTAGATCAAATAAATGTATTTAAATTAAACACATTTTTATTAAAACAAAATTCTACGGAAGAGAAATAAAAAAAACAAATAAACAAATAAATAAAAACATACAAATTTTGTTTAAAATAACCAAAAAATTGTTTTAATGTAAATAAATGTTATATTTGTCTCAAAAAAAATTTTTTTATTTTGTAGTTATCCTGTTATCATCAAAGTGGAACAATAAAACAGAATATGTGAAAAAAAATCAAAAAGTGTAATTAAAGGTAGAAGACAGTAAAAAAAAAGGGGGGGGAGGTGGGGGGTTTAATCGCAAAGATCTCGTATTGCGTGGACAATTTTACTTCTTCAGTATAATAATATGAGCAAGTGCAAAATGGTGGATCAAGGTGTCAAGCATGTTCTCACGTGCAAAGAACGAGATAGCGCGTCACCCCGACGTGTGATATCATTAAGACGCAGATTTATATCGTCTACAACTTAGCTAACTTGTGGTTAGGCTGAGGTTAGGCCAGAGGCTAAAGAAATATATATGCAATGTTTTTTTTTCTTTTCTTTTTTTTTAAAGTGAAGGTGGAACCAGCATTCGGGTTCATGCGAAAGACCTCAACTATATACACACTTTTTTTACGAAATTTAATTAGCAATAGATTCATCAAGACAATTTAATCTTTTTCGAAAAAATCATCAAAAAAAAAAACATTTTTTAATGAAAGTTATTATTATTATTCAGGTAAATTGTACCCCCCCCCACCCTCTGTACATTAACTTAAAGAAATTCTAACATTGATATAGGACCAAAGAAATATTTATTTGATTTAAATAAAAAATTTCTTTGGAAGATAGTTAGGTACATAATAAGATAATTTTAAAAAATTATTTTTAAAACAAATATAATTTGTTTGAAACAAATAAATTTTCTTTGTACATATCATAAAGAAAAATTTATGAAATAAATTGATTTCTTTGAATCAAAGAAATCTTTTTTCTGGGTGTTTATTTGATAAATAGACAAGTAACCGAATATTTGAATCAAATAATTTTTTTTTCAATGTACTCTATTGATCCAAATGGAAATTTTTTTTTTCCACATTATCATTCAATAAAACTACAAATTACTCAAGTTTAAGAACGATTGGAGAAAATATTTTTTTTTCACCTTGATCACTTCAACTGAAATCCCTCATATATATTATGATATATAATGATTATGATGATCATTTCCCATAATTGAATTTAGAATACCAATATAACGATGATTGTTACGAGCAGTAAAAAAAATGTATTACCTTTAACGATATTTAGAAAATAATGTGGCAAAGGATTACAGGTAATTGCGCACTATTTCATATATATATAAAGAGTTTTATAGTTTTATATGTAAACTATGTGGAAGATATGCGCCAATCTAGTGCTATAAAACAGGCCGCAAGTGTCCGGGTAATAATGTGTGAAGTACTATCCATCAGAGAGTGAACAAAACAGTTAAGCGCTTGTCCTGCGCGACTCAAGTGTAATAAAGGCCATCTATATGGAAGAGGGAAAAGAACTCATATAAAAGACGAAATGTTGCAAAAAAAAAAAAAAATGAAAAGAAAAAATATGAGAACACGCGCTAAATTTCTTTGTGAGTTACAAGAAAATCCTCTATACGCCGCACCTAACAATTTTAACGTTCTACTTTAAAAATTTACACAGTTCGTACAGAAATTTTTTAACAGGCCTTATTTTATCCCGATTAAAATCGGGGCCCTACTATCGCCTAGTTTGGCCCTGGATTCATAGTTTCATTTAGGTAAGGGCTAGATTGTTATATTTTTCCACATACATTCTAAAATATAGTACTATATAGAGCCATAAAAAAGCCCTATTTTAGCCCCATTAAAACAAGCACCTGACCAGCGCCTTGTTTGGCCCCGGATTCCCTGTTTTACTCAGGTCGGTGCTAGCTTTGGAAAATTTCTGTACGTATTCTAAAATATAGTACTAAATAGGTCCATAGAGAAAGCCCTGTTGTAGCTCAATTAAAATCGAAACCTGATCAGCGCCAAGTTTGGCCCCGGATTCTCTGTATCATCCAGGTCAGAGCCAGATTGTCAAATTTCTGCATTTACGTTCTAAAATATAGTACTATATAGATCCATAGAGAAAGTCCTATTTTAGCTCCATTAAAACTAAAGCCCGATCAGCGCCTAGTTTGGCCCGGGATTCCCTGTTTTATCCAGGTCGATGCTAGTTTGTCAAATTTCTGTACTTACATTCTAAAATATAGTACTATATAGGGCCAAAAAGCCCTATTTTAGCAAAATTAAAACTGAAGCCCGATCAGCGCCTAGTTTGGCCCGGGATTCCCTGTTTTATCCAGGTCGATGCTAGTTTGTCAAATTTCTGTACTTACATTCTAAAATATAGTACTATATAGGGCCAAAAAGCCCTATTTTAGCAAAATTAAAACTGAAGCCCGTTCAGCGCCTAGTTTGGTCCCGGATTCTCTGTTTGTTAAAATCGGAGCCCGATCAGAGCCTAGTGTGACTCTGGTTTCCCTGTTTCATCCAGGTTAGAGCCAGATTGACAAATTTCAGCACAAGTTATATTGGATTTTAAAATATAAATATACAGTACTATATTTTAGAACGTAACTGCAGAAATTTGACAATCTGGCTCTGACCTGGATGAAACAGGGAAACCAGAGTCACACTAGGCCCCAATCGGGCTCCGATTTTAATCGATATTAATTGATCTAAAATAGAGCTTCTTCTCTGGCCCTAACTAGGCTCAGTGTTTCATGCGAATTTGGAACTGCCTGACCTTGGCTCTGACAGGGCCTTACCTAAGTAAGGGTGAAACACACAGTTCCATCAGGGCGATGCCGAAATTTGGATTCCTTATATGGTGCAAAAATTTTGCCATTGTTTAAATCGGGGTCAAAACTGGCGTCCATAAAATTGGCATGAAACACTTTACCCGATCTGTGCCACAAGATGAAGCCACATTTCGACGCTTTCCAGATCTGGCCCATATCGGGTGAGGGGTTTCTAGCCATTTTTGGGACAAATATGTCAATTTCTACACGGATTCTGAACAGGCCCTAGCAGGGTCGATGTCAAGCAGCACCAAATTCGCATGAAACATACTAAATCCTATGGGGACCACAGAGAATGATCTATTTCGAATAAAATCCATTAAAATCCTGGCCCGATTAGGGCCTGGCGTGGCCACGGTTTCATCCTAGTTTTTAATGAATTTCTGGCCAGAAATATTTAGTAAAATAAAAATTCTACGTCAAATTGAAATTTCTAACTGTTAATTTGTCTAAAATAAAATTCGAATCTTATGAAGAATTCTTTTAAATAAAAATTCCATCTAATTTTAATTAATGCGCGTCAAAATTTTCCCTTCATTTATATTTGTTATAAAAATTATTTTACCGTAATTTTACAAACGCAGTTGAACATATATATATATTTATATATATATATATATATATATATATAAATAAAAAACTAAATTCGCAATTATAAATCAGT